AAATGAGATTGACAACCTGACACAAAGTCCTACAAAGAGACCACCAAATCACCTCAGAATCCCCTCGACAATTGCTAATAAGGAACTAACAGTCTCTGGTGCCATTCTTCATTTCACAGGTTATTTGAAATGTTAATAAAAATGAGGGTTGGTGGTTTCTGAATGCAGAAATCTGTGCTTTTCACAAACTGTGCTGAAACCAATTTGTTTTACATAAGCTGTTTCCAGGATATAAGACAGTAACAATATCTAGTCTTGTTAACACAGACTGTATTAAAAACTTTACTAACCCTGAATAACTATTATCTTTCCAGTTCTCCACCCTGTGTTTTCTTGTAGCTTTAACTATAGTGTTTGTGTTGTGACAGGTTCCCAGGTGTCGTGCTATGAAAATTAGTGTGGCGCTCTGTTAGGACATCTGATAAATACTGACCTTTTAATGACAACTATTACTTGTTTCTGCTGTCATCACAGTCTGAACAGTTTGCTCAGTTTTTATGCTGGTACGATGCAAACTGTAAACAAGTTAATTTGATTAAACAAAAATGTATCTTCCATAATTATGGGTTATTTATATTAATAAGGAAAAATTAGCATATTTCTATTAATAAGGAAAAGTTTGCCTTAGAGGGTCCTTACATACCAAAAGTTTTTGTGATAGTTCAAATGCTGCCACAGTGCCACGTAATCTGGTGTCATGGCAGTTTCCTCCAGAGATTATATATTAGAAAACTGCTTTTCTCCTTTTGGGGGAATAACAACATTAGATCTTTCTGGGCTCCTTACTTATATCAGAATGATGTGGTGCCCATTATGTTGTTGTTCCCTAAACCAGACTAAACTGATTGTGTGTTTCCTGCATGTAAGCCTCAACCTGGCTCTTCTTCCTTCTTTTTCTCTTCCTGCCATGTAAAGTTCATTCTTAACGATGGCAAATCTATTTGTTTATGGCAAATGTTAATGAATATGTTAATTGAAAGATCTCTCTCCTGATGAAGGTCACAAAATTAATGCATGCATGCCAGTTAACCTTTTCTTTTCTAGGATAACAATATCTTGAAGCGGTAAAATTATTGCTGGAGAGAAGTGCATTATGTGCAGCATAGTGCATAATTATGGAAACATATGTTAAACATAACTATTGAGAAGGGAGTACTAAAATCATTAATATTCATACAGCAAGTAAAATCTGTCAGTCTAGGCATAATCTGTCACAGTGACTTTACTGTCACAGAGGAAATACTCCCAAACTGTATTTGCTAGCTATCAGAGTGTTGAGCAACTTGCTAAGTGAATTAAACAAATATAGTTTCCTCTCTAAGAATAGAAAATCTTTTTCCAACTACATTCTTTCCAGATTTACAGCTCACGCTACTAGAGCAACTTCTCAAAAACCTTTTTGCCCTTTGAGGTACTATTTCAGAGCATGAACCTGGAGCAATCTCTCTTACTGCTCAGGTCATCCCTGGTGGGAGAACACGCTCTCTGCAGAGCTGCACAAAGCACTCCAGCCAGCGTTCCTGCTGTTACTTGCTGTCTTACCAAGTCATTATCTTTTTGCTTAGCTTTGCTGAGTATTCAATAAATTATACAAGGTTCCTCTTCATGAAATTGTAAGCTGGGTTAGTCAGCTCATTGCTACCACTCTTTCTCAGCTGATTCTCTCAGCCTCTCTGCTCACCTGAGTTGAGTCTCCATTATTTTTTTCCTACATTTGCTCTGACAGGTAAAGCCAGCACTTAGGTCTTTTTTTTTAACCTTACGCATTTGAGGAGAGAGAATATCCAGCCTTTATATTTGCTTCTGGACCCACTGAACTCCCTGTTCTCTCTGGATTAGTAATGGTCTGTGCAACTAAAAATCACCTTTTCATGTTTGCTTTTACTTGTTCCTCAACATTTGCTGCAGATATTATTATTCTATATTATTATTATTATTATTATTATTATTAGTCACACTGAGTCAATCTTTGGCACTCAGTCCTTCGTTAATGGTATTATTTTTGAGGATCGTATCTTGCCCTATAGCACCATAAAAGAAGAAAGGAGAAAATCCGATGGCTTCAAGGAAACAAAGATCCAGCTTAGCAGTACCCTGATACATGATCTTAACCATGTTATCTTATACTTGGTGGCGAGCATGCTGTACTTAGGTATCAGGTTTGCTTGAGAAGTTGCCTGATTTCTTCTGGAGCCACCAAATTTGTAAGAAAAGCATGTAAGATTTTCCTGAAAGCATCCTAAAAATACTGGAAATAAGCCCAGAGTGCTTCGAAGGATCTTTTCTTAAAGTGCAGAGGTTTGGCTTGGGTACCACTCCTGAGTACTGGGACTCAAGTTTGGTGTGTATTCTCACTGTGCCTATTGTGTATTCTCACTGTGCCTATTGTGTATTCTCACTGTGCCTATTGAATGTTCTTCTAAGCTCAAAAAAGAATGCGGGGGTTTGCTGATTGGCGCTGACCACCCTGTAATTGAAAAGTTTGAACCACGCAGAGACATCACTTCATTTTTTAGCACAGTCAGATACAAGTGTTGAGCTGTGGACTGTTGTATTAGAAGTACGTGATCAAAAGTCAGGTCAGCCTTCTGAAGAGAGGTAACATCAGCCTGCTTTGGCGTTAGCCCGGGCTGGCCTGCTGTGAGGCTTCAGTTAGCTCCATGCCAGGCTGCTTGTCCCTCCTGCTCTCCTCTGTCTTTCTTTTTTTATGCTTTCTCCCATATTACCAGCAAAGAGTCCTGTCTTCCTTTGCCCTGATGCTGCTTCCAAACTTTATTCAAAATTTTTGTGCATGTAGAAGACTCTGAAATTCTCACCTAACAGATCGTCTCCTTTTCATTACTGTCTTTTTTGCTGATCAGCTCTTCTTATCTACTAGTGAGAAATCCAGTTCTACAAGTCTTGATGCCTGTTGGCTGCAATTGTGTTCTTCCAAAAATATTCTGACTATGCTTTTCCTTCTTTCTAATTTGAACATAGTGTTTGTTGGGTTTTTTTCAATCTCATCCTTCACACTCTGATCCTAGTTGTCCCGGGAGTGTGGTTGCTTTTTGTCTTTGGGATAATGAGTGGGATACTTTACTCGTTATGCAGAAACACTTTTGTAGGCCTTGCTATTAGATGATGATCCCTAGAATTTTAGGGTTGGCTTTTAAAGTCTTCTTCTTTCCTCCATCTCTGCTTGCTATGATCCAATGATTGTTTCTTTTTTTGAGTTTCCAAATTTTGAAACCTATTTCATATTCTTGTGTTTTCAAAACTAAAAATACCAATGATGAGTACTTCCTGGAGTATTGCACTTCCTGGAGTATTGCATTTCCTTCAGGTTTGTTTTGCCTATACCTAACTCCTGTCAGATTGAGAAGAACCTATTTTGAGGTGAGATTTTATTACTTTAACCTCCTCTTTTGGAAAAGGGTTTTTTTTGTGTTTTAAGGAGTTGTTAATGTGTATTTTCTACTAACTAGTTCTGTAACTGACTTCTTATAAAAACCTCTGGCAAATTCATCAGTCTTGCATCTGTCTGTTGGGACATTTTGATTCATGAAGTGGCAGGTGACCCCCAAAGTATCCAGGAATTCTCTGCTAAGTTGTCCATACTTCACAGGGCTAAGAAAAAATCTTTGAGTTGTGCCACTTGCACTCTGTTGTATTTGTTACATGAGACTATTGTGAGAGACTTTCTGAAATCCTAGAAGTAATGTGTTGTGGAGCACCAGTGTGGTGCTTTGTGTTGGATAATAGAAAAGAAATAAAGAAGGAAATACTGTTACTGGCAGGATTTTACAGTTTTGTCAAGTCCCTTCCAAAAAGTTAAATGCAGTGCTGGATTGAGCATGATTTTGACTATTAAGATGTAGGGAATTTATTTAATTAATTAGCATAAGGGAGAAATGTAACGTAAATTTCTAAGGAAAATACTGAAGAGGAAAGGTTAGGTAGAAAAGATTATTCTTCAGGAAACAATTATTACATAAAGGAGCCTGAACAATAATGGGACACAAACCATTGTCAGCAGAACAGCAGGAAAGGTATCACCTGGTCTAGAGTGAGAATGACTGATGAGTACTTTATGTCGACCGACTGAAATACTTTATGTGAAATGAATTGATTTCAGCTCCACTTACAGAGCACAGATTTGTGCAGCACAGTTGGCACCTCACAAGAAATTCAAATTTAAAAACAAAACCAAAAACAAAAAACCCCCCAAAACCAAACCAAAACAAAAATACCCAAAACCCAGAACAAAGTTAATGTGAACAACGTGTTATAAACTTGCTGCAGAAGACGTTTGTTGCAGTTCAGCCAAGGAAAACACTAATGAAGGTGGCATTACAGCATGAGTCCGCCTGTTCTGGTAATTAGATGCCTCAGTCTCCAGTGCAGCTTGTCTTCCACTGTCCCTGGCACTGCCTGTTGCCAAAATGAGAAAAAATAGTGTCAGTGAGACAAGACTTGAATAAATTTGGGAGGCAGGGAGGGATTGCATTGGTCTTTCATGGCCAGGAGGTCTGTTCACATAGCAAACAATGGCATCTGAAGGAGAGAGCACGCACGGAGCTTGAAATGATTTTCACTTTAAAGGGGGAAGGGTAGAATTGTAAACATATGTCTGTGATCTGAGGAGGAATCCTTGAACCTGTTACTGTCATGCAAGCTGCAGTTGTTTGTGGAGTGTGACTGATGTCCAGTAGAATGTAAAATATCTTGAGCTGAAAGGCCTTCGGGATATCATTAGAAAATGTCAGTGTCCCCCTCAGGACAGTCAGATAGCATGTCAAGTGTCACTTTGCCTGATAGTACAGAAACTTTTTCTTGCATCAAAGGAGAGCTGTTGAAAATGCATTTTTCAGGATTAACTTAGAACATAAAATTTACTGAGCGTGCTTGCTGCACTAGGTCATTTGTTTGGGTATCTGGTTGGCAGACTGGGCTGCTTTTTTAACAAAGGAGGTTTATCAGTTTCTTACAATCTTCTGGGGCATTGAATTTATTGGTTGAAATAACCTATCTCCTCACCTATTTAAAAGCCTTTCTTTGCAATGAATTTACTGCCTGAAAAGCGCCAGTCCAGCACATTGCAAATTAAAGATTTTTCACTCTGGCTGTTGTGGAGCTCTGCTTTGTACACAGTGTTATTTGACCATGTTTGCTGCAGGCTTCCCAGACATCAAAGCACAGTTTGGGCTAGAACTTGGTACCCCACTGTAATACCAGCTAGATATCTACCTGTTTGATTTGGGATTATATGATTTGATTTATTTTCTTTTCTGACGTGCTGTTTTCCCCTCCTGGGGGGCTGCCTTCTGTGAGTCACATCCATGTCCAGCCATGGGTCCTTATAGCCCGAATCTCAGACGGGCTCCTCATGTCTCGCTAAAATCTGCCTCCTCCTGGGGGATGTTGAGGCAGCGTTGTAATCGGTCTCCTAGGAAGGCTACACAGACAACAACATCATTATTGTTTTTAAGTATTTTTGTGTTTGTTGGGTGCGTTAGAGTGTAATGTTTCATAGTGGATAATAATAACTGTGTGTGAATATTAAAAGAGGCTCATGTGTCTCAGGAAAGGGCATTAATGCAAAAATGCTTTTTTAAGAGCAGAGCTGTGATGTGGAACCAAACGCAGACTGATATCAAATAGGCTGAACTGGCCTTTCCCAAGATCTGGATTAGCAAAAGCGGGCTGTTGTGTCCGTGCTCCACTGCTGGGGGTTTAGCAAACTAAGAGAAAACTTCCCTGAAAGATGCTGGGTCTCTTCCCTTTCCACCTTTCAATCTGGTGGAGGAGGAAATAGCCACATGATAGCTCTGCCATTGCTGGAATCCCTCCTTTCCTTCTGGAGAGGCGGGTGACAGTGGTTGTACATTTGTGGATTAAGTGAAACAAAGGAAAGAAAAACAGCACCTTAACCCTGTTTCTCTCTTTCTTCTCCCTCCACTCCATACTTTTCATTCCCTGTTATTCATTTTTTTTTTTTAAAATATATCTATATTTTTATTCATCCATGCCCTTTTCTATTTCCACGGGTCACTGTTCTGCGCGCTGTCCACTCCTGGGCCCCGCACGCAGCTCACCCTTTCTTTCTCCAATCAGGATGGCGGCCTAGTGGAAGAGCCCACTCCTTCACCATTTTTGCCTTCACCAAGCCTGAAGCTCCCCCTTTCAAACAGTGCACTCCCTAATCAGACCCTGGGCGGGATTGCCTCAGGGCTGGGCATGCAAAACTTGAATTCTTCTAGACAGGTAAGGCTGTGGGGGAAATCCCAAGCTGAATTTCAGCTCTCCTGGACTCTCGCTTTCCTGGGGGAAAAGGTGGTTTAAACCCACAGTGCATGTAACATCTTTGTTTGTGTGAAATACCAGTGGAGAAACTATCTGCTATTAAAACGTTTCACATTATAGGACATAAAACAACTGCTTAGTTGTAATTAGCCTGCTAATTACACGCATCCATTGAGAAGAGCCTGCAGTGTTCTGGATTTATACCACTGAACCCTGGTGTAGCTCTGCCTTGATTGATGTGAGGTTTCTTTTTTTGAGGCGTTGCTGATTGTCACAGGCTCTAAGGCAGAGACATGGCTCTAATTCATCTTTCCTGACTGGCATAATTATTCAGTGATGAGATGGGTGAGAAGTGATGGGGGCTTTTTTATTCCTGCTATAAGTGTCAAGACAGCTCGTAGCTTTGACAGGTGGTGAGAAAGGAGCTGTGCTTCCAGCACCTGTGGTCAGATAGAGCGTTGTGGCAACAGGGATGCTTTGGCCCCTGGGTAGAACGAACCGAAGGGGAAAGAAAAAGAAAAGAGATAGAGAGGAAAATTGATAAACACAAGACTCAGAGGCTGTAAACTACTGTTGATTATGAAAAGGTTATTTTTGCCATGTGAAGTTCTAGCAATGATAAGAAATAACAACACAGAAAAATTCTTTATGTTCTGTGATGACTTTTATTACATATGTTCTTTTAAAGTTAGTTTTCTAAAGGCAGTATTTGTCCAGCACTTACAGCCTATCAAGCATATCTTTCCAAAGCGTAGACTGCACTAATAGCGTGTCCATTATCAGTAGTTTTGTAAAATGACTTAAGTATAAAAACTACCTAGATAATTTAAAGATTGGGATGCTGTGAGTTTAATGACTCCGTTCTCCTGTCCCTTGCTACACAAATACAAATATTTTTGGCGAGTACTTTTCATTGTTCATCTTGTGACCCTCTAAGGTTATGCATCCTTATAAAAGCGATCTTCAGCTACCTTTCGTCCAGGCATCAGTACAGAGTTTTGGAGGTTTGGAATGTTGGGACATGGCGATCTTTGCTGTGCCTGATTCTAAACCTGATGGGCAGTACAGTGTGTACTGGTTTCTTTATCTGAACCTGTTGTGATCTGTGAGGATAAAGACTGCACAGATAAGTAACTTTCTGTTTATATGGTGAGTGATATCTTTAAATGCCAATTCTTGTCCTGCTGTAGATACCGAGTGGCAATCTGGGTATGTTTGGCAATAGCGGAGCAGCACAAGCCAGGACCATGCAACAGCCGCAGCAACCGCCAGTGCAACCTCTTAATTCATCCCAGCCTAGTCTTCGTGCTCAAGTGCCTCAGTTTCTATCCCCTCAGGTCAGGCAACACTTCCACTCATGGGTTGTCCCTTTCCCTGGAACTCTTCCATACATACTCTCCTCTTCATATGTTCCTGAGGCTTTGCAGCCTCTGTGTCTGTGTTGGTTTATTTACTGGCCAGTTACACAGATCAGATGTATATTCTGTGCATTATCTACGTAGGCACACTCTCCTGTTCCTTTTTGCGATAAGTAGTGTTTGTAGAGAGCTGAGGAGTTTGTTCTCAGCTCCTTTTCTATGAATGGATGTTTGAGGACGGTTATTAAGATTTGTATTAGAGCCTCTTGTTAATTTTTTGATAGTTCGTGGTTCTACTTCTGGTAATAGTAATATTTTCCAGCTGGTGTCTTGTGACTCCTATGAATGGCTTACACAGTTGACAGTGTTAAAAGTAAATGTTTCATGTTCAATACACTGCTCTTTCTTAGGTTCAAGCACAGCTTTTGCAGTTTGCAGCAAAAAACATTGGTCTCAGCCCTGCACAGTTAACCTCGCCAATTAATAATCCTCAGCATATGACGATGTTGAACCAGCTCTATCAGCTGCAGCTGGTAAGTTAAAAGACATGGCAAATAAGTTCTAAATCAGAATTGAAGGCATGAAGGAAAAATAAAAGAATGGCTAACTAAATTTTTAAATGGACATGACAGATCTTTAAAACAATCAGATGCTGATTTTTTTGGTAGAGTTTCTTTTTAAAGAAACAAAATAATGTTTTTTGCTTCAGGCTTTATAAATAGTCATTTGTGGAATAATTATCCTTTACAGCTGATCAGAGGAACTAAAAAGTCAGTTGACTTTGTACTGTTATGAGTAACATAGAATATTCTCAACCAGCACTGATCTGTGTATTATCTGCCAACATATGCAACTGATTGACCAACTGGGAGGTTTGTGTCACAACATAACAAGAGAGAAATCTCAGCAGTGCTGGTCACTTGAGTTACCTGGAGAACTTCCTTCAGTTGCCTCACTAAATAATAAAGTGTGGGGTAAATTTCCTGTAATTAATGGAACGTATATTAAACACGTCATGTGAGAAGAGCTACTTGTTTTTGAAAAGTTTTGTACTTTTGCTATATTTGCAAATTTTACATGTATGTGTGTGTGTGTGTTTGTGTGAAAATATTTAACTGGATTTTAAGAATATTTTTAAAAGTGATACAGCTAGCAGTAAGTCAGCATTTGCTAGGGTTAAACATAAAATTGAGGGTGACAAACTAGCTTAGTTGCTGTTCTCAATGTGCTCATCAAACTCTTTTATTAGTAACAACGTTTGATATTATTATCCATTTCCTAGTTTTGAGGAGCACAGCATTGATCTCATGCCGTGGTAATAACTGAACAGCACCCAGCTACTTGAAAAGTATCTGTACAGAACTCCTTTGGATTTTAATTCATGTGTTCCAGAGCAACAGCTTGGAAAAAAACTTTACTGCCCAGTTAACCACATTAAAATGGTGTAATTTTTCTGGAATAAAGCAGCCCAACTGATTAAATACAAAGTGTTGTCAGAACTAAAATGGCCAAAACAAAAATAACTATTGGTATTTATCCTATTTGTATAATACTATAAACATCTATTTTAATTTTTGCTTTGTGTTACAACTTTTTCAGAAGAAAAACGTAAGTTCCTATCTTTCACAACCATGTATTGCTTACAAACTTAACTCATCAGATTTTTTATTGATGTGTTTGGTTTAAAAACAAACGAACTAACACTGGACTTAAACAAATGTATTATAAAATAGATTTATAACAGATTTGTTACTTTTGCTTCATTGACTGTTTCCAGAAAACTCCAGTGTTTCTGTCTTCTCTATTTTACAAGGTACCAGAGCAGTTGCAGTTCAAGCATGTGCATTTGGCTTGTTGTATATGTCATGGCCTCTGACCTCTCCTTTCTGTCCTGTAGGCATACCAACGTTTACAAATCCAGCAGCAGATGTTACAGGCTCAGCGTAACGTTTCCGGACCCATGAGACAACAGGAGCAGCAAGTAGGTTTGCTCGCCAGTTCAATCTCTCCGCTCGAGTTTTGTTTCAGTAGCTTAAAGAGCTTGTACTATGTTATACTGAAGCTGCTAAAGCATCCTTAGAAACAGCAGTGTAGTGCATGGCTTGAGTACTGGAAAGAGTGCTGGAGTGATAACGCTGTTTCACAGCATTCAGTTATTGAAGGAAAGCTGTTCAACCCTTAATACAGTTGTTTTTTATTTGTGAAGAGATCTATTGTTTTATTGCACTGTAGAGAAAAAAAATCTAGTACCTTTTTGTTCACTGGAGCATTTGTTGATTCTTTTTCTCGCCAGGTTGCACGTACAATCAATAACATGCAGCAGCAGATCCAGCAGCACCAGCGCCAGCTGGCCCAGGCCCTGCTTATGAAGCAGCAGCCTCCCCCTCCACATCTGTCTTTGCACCCCTCTGCAGGCAAATCAGCCATGGACAGCTTTTCACCCCATCCCCAGGCTCCCAGCCTACCTGACCTGCAGACCAAAGAGCAGCAGTCTTCACCGAACACCTTTGCTCCTTACCCTCTTGGTAAGTGTCCTTTGTTAAAGCAGTTTCATATGAAAAAAGCAGAGGGAGTCTGTTTCATTATTTCTGCATCTAAATATTTTGCTTTCCAATATAATAAATACAGACATACAAAAGCTGTGTTCATTAAATAACGTTGAAACACCTAAACAAAGTCATGGTACTCCGTGCCCCTCTGGTAGCTGTTCAGGTAGGCTGTATTTGCTCACCTGTGCTCTGCCTAAAAATACCAGAAGATTTGCTTAATTAACTACCTGTGTATGTTGCTATTTATGGACTCTATATATTAAGAGCATCATTTTGTAAAATACACAAATGTTGTATTGATAAACAAGGAATATAATCTGGAAGTCATGCAAAGTTATCTTCCCACTGTAATCGGCACGGGTAAGATATCAATTTTGGTCAATGTATTTCTGGAAAGATACAGATCAGTTTGAAGGAATGCAGAGTGTTGTGCAGATGATTAAATGTTTTATGACTGCTAAGGAAAAAATAAAATCCTCTGCTTACTTTAGTCTAAAGAGAAGACTTAAGAGACATGCAGGAATCTTCAAAAATTTAAAAGATGGCTTCAAATAAGTTTCCTTGCATGTGGCTAATGCAAGCGGTAGTAAACTTGTGTTGCATAAAAGGAGATCTAGATAAACATTAAGGGTCACTTATTTTCTTTAAGTGAAGTAGAGTACTGGAATAATCTGGGAAGTTTCTGAAATCTTCTTTACTGGTCATTTTGTGGTAGGTTAGACACAGATCTGTCAAATATGATTGTTGTCAAAATAATCAATTCGACCTTGAGACAGGATGAACAGAACAACCTTTCAGACCTGTTTTCTGTGATAGTTTTATGTATACTACAGATTTCATTTATGACATAAAAGAATTAATTTAATGTCTTTGTGACTTTCTTTATGCTGTGTACAATAGAATTGCCAAGCTTTATCTGCCATGCAGCAGTTAAGAAGGTAATTTTGACTGCTGGTGTGAGCCACTGTAGCAGGGAAGGAGCAAAAGAATTTATGAATTAAAGGCCTTAGTTTATGAGGTTATTATCATATCTCAGCTTCCTGTGATCTGATAACATTCAGGATTATATAGCAAAAAGGAACCAGTTTCATGTCACAGAAGCATGTCAGAATTATTCCTTGAATACAACCTGAGTGATTTTGTTCTGTGTATACAAAAATATATGCCTGAATAGTGCAATAGCTGCTTTGATGAATAGTAGCTGTTTAGATGACCTTTTAATTAGTTACTTTGTTGGTGATTTTTAAAATAGTGTGCAAAATAAAATGGCAGACATCACGGGGGTGTGCTGGTGAGAGGTTAGGAATATTTTGGCTTAGCAATGCAATGCTGCAAATTCTTCACTGTTTTAAATGTTGCATTCCAGTGCATTCTTCCAGAATGTCTTTTCTGAGACAAGTGAAGAGACTGCAAGGAGAAATACTGACAGCTTTAAAATATTACCCCTACATCTTTTTTCCTTTTTCCTTTTATCAAAGTTTTAATGTTTTCTGAATTCATAGGAGTTATATTGATGTTCCCATAAAAGCAAAAGTTCTTGACAGCAGGTTGAAAACGTTCATCATGGTAAATTACTGCACATACGTATACAGGTCTGAAAATCAATGTTTAGTAATTTCTTTAGCTGCATTTTTAAACACACCTTTTAATCCTCGAGTATCTTATGGATATCTAATGAGCTGTTTCCCCTTAGCTGGACTGAACCCGAACATGAATGTAAATAACATGGACATTACTGGTGGTTTGTCAGTGAAGGACACTTCTCAGTCCCAGTCTCGCCTTCCTCAGTGGACACACCCCAACTCAATGGATAATCTGTCTAGTGCTGCTTCTTCGCTTGACCAGAACTCCAGCAAGCACGGTACGTTCTTTGTGTCAGCCTGGCTTTTTGAGACACGAGTCGTATTGCAGTTGTGTTGGGGTTTTTTTTTCTTGCATTACTGTTTTTGGTAAGTGCTTATAAATGGTTGGTACAGAGCACCCCTTGAGACTGCAATATTTTAAAATTATTTCTTCAGTCACATTCAACAATGCGTTGAAGTTCTTGCAGCTATCACTTCATACATGCAGTGTAGGAATGGGTTTTTTCATTTGCGGAATTTTGTCGCTCAGAACATGGGAGTTCAAGTAAAACAAGCCATTGGTGTTGGCAAAACAAGTCCCACAAGCTTCCCCTTACTCCAGGTCTGCATACCTTCAATCCAAAAAAACTTTACATTGGCTTTTTCCCACAGTTCTTCCAGTATCCTCAGCCTTTCACAGCCAGTCCTGTACAAAGGCACGGTGGATTACATCATTACCCACCCACCCTGGGAGCTAGGAGCACAAACTCCATATTTTTCCAGAAGTGATTGCTAATCTGTTTGAACACCTTTATCCCTAACACCCCCAATATCCTGAGTCGTTTATTCCTTTATTTCCTGTACCAAGTTTATTCTTTTAGGACATGGTGCTCTGTTAACTTCATTGTATCCTGGATTTTATTATGAGCAGCATGGATCATTTCTTTTATGATAGTTTTTTATTCTGCAAGTAGCTGTGCTGCTTGTGCCAAATTGGTGTTTGATAGTTTGTAGGAACATGAGAATGGCCATTTCAAATCATCCATCCCATTGGCAGTGAATACCTAGAGAAGGATGAGAAGAGGGCTTGCCTGCAGTGATACTCCTTAGTATCCTGTCTCAGGAAATTCCTGTTTAACATCAGTGTAATGATTTGAATTGCTTAGTCTCTTTTTGGCAGTCATGTAATGTGAATTTCTTTAACTTGAGTGTCTAGATTGTACCAGTGATGTGTCTCACAACTGTAATTCCTAGCAAGGCTTCAGAGGCTATTAAGCCTTGCTTACTGTGTTTGCATTTTAATTTTCTTGTTATCTTTGTAATACAGAAAGAAAAAAAATTAAAAAATAGAGGGACTGATGAAATTCCATACCCAAAATTAGTCCCACTCCTAAACAAAGCCTTTCCATTTCATTCATTACAGGTGCTATACCTGGAGGTTTAAGTATTGGTCCTCCAGGAAAGTCCTCCATTGATGACTCTTATGGCCGCTATGATCTGATTCAAAACAGTGAATCGCCTGCCAGCCCACCCTTAGCTGTTCCTCACAGCTGGTCACGTGCCAAAACCGATAGTGATAAACTTTCCAATGGCTCCAGCATAAACTGGCCACCAGGTAACAAAGTACAAAGCATTCGTGTTAAACTGATGTCCTTAAAACCTATTGTTGGTTTTATTTATTGAATCTTCATGCCTTCTGATACACAGGAACTTTGGAGAGTTAGGACTTTATATAATCTTGTTTTTATTGTATTTGAAACAGAGTTTCATCCAGGAGTGCCATGGAAAGGACTGCAAAATATTGATCCTGAAAATGACCCTGATGTTACTCCTGGAAGTGTTCCAACTGGGCCTACCATAAACACCACAATCCAGGATGTTAATCGCTATCTTCTCAAGAGCGGAGGTAAACATACAAATTACTTTCACATCTCTGTGTATTTTCTTTTTCTTTCCCAAAAAGTTGACTTCATATATTATGGATGTAGTATATTTTCGCATGTAATTCTAATCTAATAATGCTTCTGCTCTGAACTTCCACTGAAAATCCAGAAAATACATATGGGACTAAAGTTTCTGTTTTTCCATGGGAATGTAAATATTTTTATATTGGAAAAGGCTGTGAAAAGCAATATAAACTTCTGTGGTCACTGGAAGGATTTGTGACCTGTAACACTTTTGTTTTGAACAAGATTTTGCTCTCCATACTGACCAACCTCTTACATACACTTTGTATGTATACTCAGAAGACAATACATAAGTTCCACAGTTGTTGCTGAGACAGCAGGCTTCTGTCACACTAATTAATTGTAGCTTTGTTGGAAGATGAGTCAGCAAAATAAATTAGAGCTGTTTTATCCCCAAAACCATCAAAGAAAAGACAAAATAGGGAATTGACTAGTAAACTCCTATTTCCCGGTGCTGTTTCCATTCCTTTTGTCTTGGCAGTGCTTACTCCAGAATTAAAAGGGTGTATTCTCCAAAACAATAAACTGTTGGGACTGTGCTTCTTGTTAACTAGATTTACTGAAAATGGATCAAGGATCAATGGAAAGGTGCCTTGGTTTAATTGTGATCAGCATGCTGAAACAGGCCAGTTATCTGCACTCTCTTAGAGCACACTGTTGTGCACAGGAGTGGTATAATCAGGTTGTCAGGAAGAACCTGTCAGGATTAAAAATGTGGATTTTGTTCCAGTAGTTAGATCTGTGATATCTGCGTAGATTGTAAATCAGAACTATCCTTTAAATGAGTTTCCAGCTCTGAACTTGTAGGGATGTGAAATGTGAGGGAAAGAAGACAGGGATTTTCACTGTCTTGAATGGTTTTAGTTGTCTCTTACCAGAACGCAATCTTTATTTAAACTGAAACATAAAGTATTTGTGTGCATTAGTAATGCTGAATTATCTTGTAATGACCCAAATGTACTTCAAGGGGCAGGCAGCCTGGATGGTTTGAAGTTACAAACAGAAAAGTATAAAGACATAATTTGGTCACAGTTCAGGTACGGTGCCCTCAAGAAAGACTCCCTTTAGGTCAAAAGCCTGACCCTACAGATCTGTACCTGTAAGTTAGAAGATACCTACTATAGGTCTTCCTTCTTTATAGAAGGGAAGTATACATTAGCTCTGCTGGTGTATAATCTGTCTGTGGAATGAAGAAATAATTACTCTAGTTAGAGAGGGTCGGGATAGATGATCTTTGCAGAAGTAAACAGGCCCTTGAGAGTCAAAACCTTCTGAAAAGCAGTGACTGTTGGGGTCCATGTATGCTTTCTTTCCTCATTAGCTTTTTAGCTTGTTAACTATGATTTTAATATAGTTTTTTAGCTTGTTAAATATAATTTTAATAAAAACTGCAGTTGCTGAATTTGTTTCTTTATGCTCATATAACCTAGGTGTTTGCTTCCAGGTCAAATTATCTGTTATTGTCAGTAGCCCTCCATGTGAGATTAGGGCTTTCATGACACGCTGCCAAGAGGAGTCTGTGCTTGAATATTGCAGCTGGAAGTGTACGGGTTGTATTAAAGAAGCTGATCTCCATTTAGAGGACCAGGCTGCAGTGTACACTGTCCTTGCCCTGTGTGCTTAGAAACAGACCAAACCTGAGCTTTGGGGTTAAAGCTTTTTGAAGCTTTTGGGTTAAAGAGGGGAGGTTTAGATTAAATATTAGGAAGAAGTTCTTCACTGTGAGGGTGGTGAGACACTGGAACAGGTTGCCCAAGGAAGTTGTGGATGCCCCCTCCCTGGAAGTGTTCCAGGCCAGGTTGGATGAGGCTTTGAGCAACCTGGTCTAGTGGAAGGTGTCCCTGCTGATGGCAGGGGGGTTGGAACTAGATGATATTTAAGGTCCCTACCAACCCAAACCATTCTATGATTCTATGATTGTTGCTTTACCCTGTTTGCTAATGAAGCTTTGCAGGGTCAGCTACGATGAGCTGAAAGTCTCAGCCTGTGGAATCAGGAACAGTTTCAGCTCTTATGGGCACATGGGCCTTTGAATCTGATATAATTCCCTCACTCCTTCCTGCCTGGGGAATAGATAATTTCCAGAGAAGGCCTCGATACAGAGTTCTTTGCTTGAGACTGATGTCTGTATTGGTGTCCTTTGGAGCACAGTGAGGCTGGATAAGGTAAAGTTTGGTTGGTTTCTGTTCAGGTTGAAAATATAGCTGGTGTTTTTTATTCAGCTGTGAGGGATGAGATTATCCTTTTACTTTCTCCCTTCTACCTCAGTACAGCGCTCTTCTCCAAAGAACTCACCTGTTTTTATGAGTCAGTTAAAGATGTTTCAGTATCACAGTCCATCTGTCTGTGTCAGGAATGATAAGTCACCTAAGATACACGCTTAATTTTGGTGGTGGCTAGAGAGAATACTTCCAACTCTTCTGGTCTTTATGATGAAGATATTTTACTTTCTGTTCAGTTTCTTTCATTTGCTGCCAGTAAGGAAATTGTATGTATGCTTAGATAGCTCCTCAGATTGTAAATGATTTACCCAGATGGTTTCAGGCTATTTCATTTAACTTTATCAGTTTGAGAAGAGATTGCTAAAGTATATCCTTGCTTTACTGGAAGTCTGCAAAAATCTAAAGAAGTTTGTGGGTATTGGGATGTAAGAGAAGTGCTTAGGTCGAGTAATTTAGGACAAATCACCCATGGTAAGAGGTTAGTTTGTCATATACATCTCTGCTCATCTACAATTGCCATTGCTTAAGTTAGCTGGCAGAGCACCTTTATAAATGAAGCCTGTTTCTTCAGACTAAACAGTTTAACACTGATTTTTTTTGCGAGTCACGTATCTTAAAGGAAAAGCAGAATTTATCTTCTGCACAGGTGCTAGTACATTTGCTGCTATGCCAGCTTTCCTTTATTTTCTACTAAAGACTTCTGCTTCACTTTATCATGCTTTCTATAACATTTCATTCCTAGACTTCAGAGACCAAGCTGATTAAGGAAAATGCCTTGCATGGTTTGTATTTGCACTTAACAGATTTGCTTATGTCACACCAAACATCATTATGCCCATCTTTCTTAGCTGCTTCTCTGCTGGTTCTGCAGGGTCATCCCCAACATCATCTCAGAATGCCACGCTGCCTTCATCGAGTGCCTGGCCGCTTAGTGCCTCCGGCTACAGTAGCTCTTTCAGCAGCATTGCATCCGCACCTAGCATTGCAGGTACGAAAAATGGCCTTTCTACCTTTGCATCCTTCTGCATTCTGAGAAAAGGCCCTAGAAAGTGTTTTCCCAGTTATTACAGTAGTGCTACTATAGACAGAAGCACATTTTTAGTGCTGTGCCAGGTAGATATCTCTCCTGGCAGCTCTTCAGTGGTGAGTGTTGGATGGCATGCCTGGAATTGTGCTAAGGAAAAATGTATTTATTCCACTTGGTGCCACGTGCTGTCGCTCCATATTGGCATCAAGATCTCGTAATGATTATTTCCATTCAGACTCTGAGGAATATTGTGTAGGACCTCAGTAGAAACACCCCTATTAGGCCCTTCCAGTAAGAGCCAATACAAAATTTTTGTTAATAAACTCACTGTTAAAAGTGAACCATCTTCAGCACAGGAGAAAGTTTAGGAGTACCTCAGGGAGGTGCTCTGCATGGCTCTGGAGCAGTTGGGTTTGGGGCTCTTTAATGTCTTTTAATAGTCAAGCCAAAGCCTGATGCTCCCCTATATGGCTGAGCTTGTAGATGGCCTAAATAATTACCCCATTCTTTTTAATGAGCTATAAATTCTGGAGCATCTCTCTCTGCGAATCATGGAAACTTTGATTGCTAACTGGCTCCCTAAATATCCGATTTGTCTTGTTATAAAAATGCATTCAGGCTGTTGTATGGATTGTATTGGCATTTTCATTTCTAATCAATGAAAACCTTACACTTCTTTGAATAAAGGAAGGTGCAACCTCCAGGTCATACTGCAGAGTGCAAAACAAAAAGGGTTTGCTTGAAGTGTTTTACTCTAGTGAAAGGAAAAGAAAGGAGTGGCTTGCTTTTCTTTTATCTGCCATGCATTTGTGCTTTATGTGCTTTTTTTATTTGTTTGGGGGTTTGGTTTTTTTTGCAGTGTCATTTAACTTTTGTGTTAACCCCATGAGAAGTAGTGACATAGCAAGATCTAACCTATGGTGAAGTGCGTGTATTGTGCCACATCACAGGCTGAGCTGCTCCAAGTTCCAAAACTCAGACTTTCTCCCTTTCCTCCCACCATTTTACCCTTGTTAATGTCTTCAGCATCACTGTCACGTTATTTTTGTTGCTGCAGTTTGCAAGAAGATGGGAGAGTGGTTGCCCTTTCACTCTGAATTGTTACGATTCAGTATAAAGTCATTGAGTTAAATGATAAATAGAGGCAATGTGGGGAGTGTGTGTGTTTATAACTGAGGCTGTGATTTGGTGACTGGTACATTTGGCTTTAGGACTGATAAAAAAACCTCAATGGTTGCGTGATGCAAAGAATGGTTCAATATTAGCTTAATCTGCCAGTTCAGATCTGATTTAAAAAAAAAAACAACTCACAAGACTTTTGCATCTTGGACTTTGTCAGACCAAGTATTTTCTTACTGTCTGCAATCAACATCAAAGCATTAAGGCAGCGTAATCACCATATCACTTGCTCTGGCAGAAGATGTGGTGATGTGACCATTTCAGTTCATTCCACTCAAACATGTGCTGCTGATGTTAGTAACGGTGGGACTGTGCTAGGACAAGAAGACTGATGTCTCAACATATGATGGTACAAGGGAGAAAGTCAGGGATGTGTAAGTCTAAAAGTGAATAAAGGGGTTTGTTTTGGTATCTGTAATTTGAATCAATTTCATCTGCCGCTCTGACTCCTGAACTGTATTCGTTATTCTTGGGTTTTGTATTATTTTATAAAACTCTGATTTGGCAGGAACAGTAGTAAGTTTAAAAATTGATTTGGGAAATAACAAACTGAACAATAAAAAGTTGCAGAGTGACAGGTTGTGATATGGTCTAATCTTCTGTAGACTTAATTTCTCTCAAAGACACATGGAAAAAAGAGTATCTGTTACTTTTAATATTCAGAAATACAGTTTTTGTCTTTGAACTTGGGAGTTTTAATAATATATCAGAAGAACATGTGGATATACTGCTTACTTTATAATAGAATGAGTTACGTAAGAAAAAGTGGTTAAGTTCTATTAAACCTTTGAGAGAGAAGACAATCTTGAAGTGTTTCATTATAATTTTGATGAAATTAGATTTCAAATACTTAAGCCTATTTTCTGGTCTTTTTTTCATGTATCTTCTTTTATGAGAAAGTGAAATAGTAGGAGATTTTTAGAAAGGGAAGTGTACATGTAGCAGGTTTTGGGAGATTCATTAAACTCAAAATTATTTGAAAATGTCAATACTAGTGTAAGTAGGTTCAAAGGATACAGGATTTCTATCACTGAATGATACAGAATACTATTCTTTTCTCTCCTGAAAAGTTGGAAGAATGCAGTCCATGCAGCAGCTTGATGATTACCCATCCTACTTGGTTTAACAGTTGTTGCTAACTAAAAATATACAAATGTGGGGTTTTTTTCTCTTGCAGGTAAATTGTCAGACATCAAGTCTACGTGGTCCTCTGGCCCCATCTCTCACACACAAGCCTCTCTATCCCATGAACTATGGAAGGTACCCAGAAACACTACTGCTCCTACGAGACCACCTCCAGGCTTAACAAACACCAAGCCATCATCGACGTGGGGTGCCAGTCCCCTGGGCTGGACCAGCTCTTACTCCTCCGGTACTTCTGTGTTTTATAACACCACAGTGCCTTCTTTTTATAATTGTTTGCTTTTATTCTGTGTTACAATAGTGAGGCACCCCATAGCTCTGCGTCAGGCTCCAGAAACTCGAGGTTTAATACAAGTAGTGTGTGTCTGCTTTGGGGATGAAGCTCGTGTCTGTTTATTTTAGTTAGGATAAGTTCTAAAAATGAAACTGTCTTCTTTCAGATGGTCATATAAGTAATTTTATGTAGGAATTGCCAAATAATTTTACTCCAACTAGGATATTTTTCCATTTCCTTAATTTCTAAAAATGTCTTCTAAACATGTTTCTTGTTTTGTGGTATGATCTACGACTGCCTGTGAGGCTTCAAGATGAGTGAATCAGCCCATGGAATTTAATATGGAGCACATTTTTGGAGCATGGATGTGAAGCATTTAGAACCTGATGGCATTGCAGGGCCCTCAGAGAATGGCTTAATTTTTTCATGCAGGCTCTTTTTTTAGATGTCATTGTTTTTTTAAATACAAAGATGAGAAACCATGGATCTGGATGTATATATATATATATATATATATATGATGTTTATTTGTGAAGTATTGTCAGCTTCAAAAGTATCGCACCTATTTTATAAAGCTGACTCTTTTATTCATCTGCTTTGACTGAGTTAGGAGTTACATGTTCCTCCTTCTTCTTGCCCTTTGTTTTGTATCTGTTTTCTTCACTGAAACCCCACCTGGTGGGCAGATATTGCTGGTGCCAGGGTTCTCTCTGGATCTGAGTGTGCTCACACATGTGACTACAGAAGTACTGTGGTTTCTTAAATGCCCCTCATCAATATCAAGCTTGTACAGTTTCTCATTGTAGGACACTAGGCTGGAGTTGGAAAAGCAGGTTTTGTTGGTTAAGTCCTTGTATCTTTAATCAGAACATTGTCAGTGCAGAAATATCTGTTTTGAATAAGTCATATACATTGATTTGGGACTGGCAAGATAGCAGAACGCTACAGCGTTATAAAAATCTTTAATAGCAAGCAGCAAGCTGAGCTTGGACATCTGAATTGCTTTTAAAATGTGTCTTCCAGATTAATTCTAATGTAAGGTGAAGATACACTTTGTTGCAGTGTCACACCTGCTAGTTTTCTAATAGTTATTGTGGGAATGTGAAAAATGCCACAGATCTTTTAAATGTAACAAAAGCAGGTTTTCATTCTGCAACTCTTCATTCTAAGGAGACAATAAATCAAGACATGAGGGAGCTGCTGTAGGGTTTGTTTTCAGTAGCAGTTACACTTTCCAGTGTGCTGTGATTCCAGATGAGTTTTCTTCTTACAATACCCTCCCCACACCATGATAAAATGTTTTGTTGTGGTGTTTGCATTGTAGGTTCTGCGTGGAGTACTGACAGCTCAGGGAGAACAAGCAGCTGGCTGGTTCTTCGAAACCTCACACCCCAGGTAAATGAAATTGTACATAATTAGTTATCAACAAAGACTCATCACTTTTAAGAGATGATAAGATGAGCATTTATCAACCTCTGTCATTTGGTTCATTTGAAGGGAAAATAATTCTGCATTTATTACAAGCATCTGTTTTCTACAGGGAATTTGTAAGTTTTCAAAGAGCTGTCCAATCAAGTATGAACTTTTAAGACTGTAATTAGTCATTCATTGTGCACCATTTATGTATGTGTAAGTGCAAATGACATTTTAAAGCAGATACAGAGATGTAAAATCTGCTTTTCCTATCTTTTGGGGTTTTTTTTTTATTTGTTTTCTCCTAAGTCTGTCAAATCCTCTCATACTCCACGTAATGTCATTCACAAGGAAGAACACAAGCCACAAAACTTTGAATGTCGACATGCAAATTAACCTTGGGGAAAACTTAGTAGTATTTATGAACAATATATTTTTCCTTTGACTTATTCCTGGGCTTCTGTGGACTTCTAATGATAAACATAATTTGTACCACATAAATTGGGAAATCTTGTGCACTGGACTGTGAAGAACTCTTAAAAAGAGAGGATGTCCCACTCAATGAAGACAGTCTTAATTCTATAATTGAATTCTTCTTATGGAAGAAAACCTTTTTTTTTTTTCCTTTCACTTGTACATATTTTTTAGCTTTTAAAATTTGTTTCATTAACGAGCATTTAAAGTAAAATAAAAAAAAATACAGATAACCTTTCCTTCTCTTCCCTGTTACCAGATTGATGGTTCCACACTGCGGACACTGTGTTTGCAACATGGCCCTCTAATAACATTCCACTTGAACCTGACACAAGGGAATGCTGTGGTCCGATACAGTTCCAAGGAAGAAGCAGCCAAGGCCCAAAAGTCTCTGCATATGTATGTTTCTGTTCTCTTTTTCCTGTGTTACTAAGCCAGTTTTGTCTCAGAAACTATTTTCTTAGGCGTTTATTTGTTAGGACTCAGAACTGATCACTAGTTAGTTTAATCTGATTTTGGAAATTACCTAATGAGAGAGAGAAAAAATAATTGGAGGCTTGATACTCATAGACTACTAAACAAGAGGTCATGTGAGGTTGTGAAAGAAATTGAAAGAAATGTATGGCAACAAACTGTGCTTTTTAGGAGTTTTAAAGTCCTTTTTAGGTGTTTTAAAGATTAATTGGCATGCTGTGCAAGAGCTGGAGAATTTGAGTGATAGAATCAGTGACGTTGGGGTGGATTGAGAATGTAGAGAGTGATGTTTCTAAAGAATACTTAGATGCTTAGAGTTGGAAAGCAATTTCCTTTATCAACAAATTACAGCACAAGTATAATGAAGAATACTGGTCACAGCAGAAACATGGTTTGGAGCTAGCTGTACTGGTCTAATCACCTTCCCCATGTGTAGAGATTTAGGAGCAATGGTTACTCCACATGTAAAGTTGCAACTACTTTCCCAATATGAACTTGATTAACAGAAATTGTTGTAATAATAATTATATTAATGACTTTTTAAACTGTTGACCATTCCTTAATTAAATATTACAAAGCAACATTTGGAACAACAGAAGATGAAAACTTGTCGACCCATCTTAATTACATCAGTTTAGGTGTGGGCATCAGGTAAAAGAAATAATGCCAAAGGCAAAATTAATATGTGAGTTTAAGGATAAGTGCTGCTTTTAAATACATATGTGACAATGTCCTCACATTATCAGTGATCTAGAAGGCCTCTGTTTAAATTGGTTTTTTAATAAGTTGGGGCACAACTGTAGTTATGCTGCTGCAAGGACAGGACAGACCTTTCTGAATGAAAAGGGTCGAGCTATATATGTGTTGGTTTGCTGGCAGGGTGACAACAGTAAAAATACAATGGGATTTGTGGAAGCCAACAGGACAGTGTGAGAGTTCCCAGAGGTATCAGGCCCCGCCTGTGTCGCAGATAAATGTTTAAGTGGAGTTGATCACTGGAAAATACATTGTAGAGCCAACAGTCTCAGATGCCATCTGATCTGACATGAGAACAGCTTGCTCACACTCTCCATCTCTGGTTGTAGGGGGTGTGGTTTTTTCCTATGTAAATTAGGAGCAACAGTGATTAAATACTTTTTGAAAATTAATTTAAAATTTTATGAAGAACGTGTAGTTTTCGAAGGCTATGTTTGAATCTCTTCACTTACATGTTTAGGACAGGTAGAAATTCTGAAGAGGTGATTTTCAGCAAGGAGCATTTGCACAAACCCAGCTGGTTGATGGCTCCAACCCAGAGGCTGGGGTCAGGCAGTGCAGGAGAACAACCGGTACAAACGCGTTTGCATCCCAACAAGAGTGTGGTTGTTAGTGTCCGTGTTCAGAGTCACACACCCTGCAGTGGGGAGACTGAACTCATACAGAAAACCTGGAGGTTTAGGCAGACAGTACCAGGTAGATTTACCTTTCGTTCTCTTTTAAACAATCTTAGGTTGCAAAATAAATTCTAGAAGAAAATAAAAGCTAGGTTCTTGGAAGAATTATGCATCCATTGCACTAGTCACGCAGTTATTCTTGTCAAACATAAAGGAAATTAATTTTAAACATACTGCTAAAGAAAAGTGAGGTTTCAGGAAACAGGGTTGGGGGGAAAGAGAAATCCTTTAACTTTGCAGGATGAATGGTGAGTTGTGTTGAAGTACAAATCAATTTTCAGAGTACACATGTTGGAAATGTGTTCCCAACACAGCCAGTTGGTTTCAAGTATATTTTTAAATAAAAGCAGGGAATAAGCATTAGACGCAGGGGAGTTGAACTTTACATTGAGGAGTTAATGTTAAACATCATGACGGTATAAGACCTTTAAAGTTATGAGAGCATGCTTGCTTGTTACACGTGAAAAAGGAGGATTCTCTAATCTTTCTGAGTTTCTAGGTCTTCTGAGATTATTTAAAATGGGAGGAGGGATTATGCACCTCGTGGCCTGGAGCTTGCTTTTTCTACGTTATATGATGCATCGTTGGATCTATATTTTGTATTTTCTCTTCTTAGTAAAGCAAAGCATCATCATTACTACAGGTCCCACTGCCCAGTGCTCAGAAATAATAAAAGCTACAACAGTTCTGCAAAATTAAAAGCAGGGACAGGAGGCAGTGTTATCAGGTGCTCGAGCACAGACTTAGAAACAGCATTTCAGCCTTTGCTGTAACTAAAAAGTTACCATGGAGTGTGGTGGCTCTAGGCATCCTGAGGTGCAAGGTGTCTGAATTTTATTCTGCTGATATATTTGGGAGATTTAAAAAAAAAAAAAGACTTATTTTCCTTGTTGATTGATTTTTAAAATACACAGCAAATGATTGAATCTGTTGCAGAATTTAAATACTAGAATATAATGTAGGATGACACATTATCATAGAATCATCATAGAATCATAGAATGGTTTGGGTTGGAAGGGACCTTAAAGATCATCCAGTTCCAACCCCCCTGCCATCAGCAGGGACACCTTCCACTAGACCAGGTTGCTCAAAGCCTCATCCAGCCTGGAATTAATGTGAAGGGAGTAGTTTTTTAAAATGTGTTATAATAAATATGTCGTTATTGGTGTCATTTGTTCCTGGTAATGCTGGTGCGATTGTAGCTTTATGCCTAACTAGAGTACAGCCCCCTGTGATGCACGTTAGTTAAACAAGGTGGTCCCCACACACACATGGCTTTGTGTGTTTGCCAGTGGATGTGGAAAGGTAAATAGAAAATAGGACAGAGAAGTCTTTGTTCGAGAGACTGGGATTGCTAAAAGTGAGCAGATGTGGCATAGATCTTCATTCAGAATCAGCTTGGGGGAGATGGATTTACAGCCATCTCCTCACATCCATTTCCGAAATGCCCTTTACGCCCCTTGTTACATGTCACCACATCTTTTGTTTTTGTCCCCAGGTGTGTCCTGGGAAACACTACCATCCTGGCCGAGTTTGCTGGAGAAGAAGAAGTCAATCGCTTCTTAGCACAAGGCCAGCCACTGCCGCCCACCTCCAGCTGGCAGTCCAACACTGGAACCAACCAGACGCGCCTGGGCTCCTCCAGCAGCTCCCACGGCTTGGTGCGCAGCGACGCCGGCCACTGGAACACTCCCTGCCTGGGGGGCAAGGGGAGCAGCGACCTGCTGTGGGGTGGGGTGCCTCAGTACTCCAGCAGCCTTTGGGGACCCCCCAGCACCGACGACGGCAGAGTTATTGGAAGCCCGACACCTTTGAATACTCTTCTTCCAGGTGATCTTCTCAGCGGGGAGTCCATCTAGGAAACAAGAGAAACAAAATGGAAATAACAATCATCAGCACTAAAGGAAAAATAAAAAATAATGGTAACCCTTTCCAGTCCTGGGCTTGATGAAGAATCCAGCTTTAACCGATCAGACTGGCAGCCCTTTTTAGTACCTCTGTCCAATATCGAATATGAAACTGCAGAAGTCCTTGTGAACTGTTCAGGAAACAGTATGGGCTATTTTTGGTCAGTGTCACATGCTAATGACAGGTTTTATTTTTTTTTTTCATGGCTTTTTGTTTTATGTTGTCTTTTTATGTTTGTATGGTGATTTTTCAAAACAAAGTATAAAAGCTGCTTAGAATAGGTCTATCATGAAGGGCACTTTTCAGATTTTTGGGCTGGAAAGGGTTATTTTATCAACTGGGGGGGGTAGGGAGGGGAAAGGGGGAAATGAAAGCCTATTTAAAATGAGCCTGTGACTATTATGCACATTACCAGAGGCGGACCCAATAATCAGAAAGGGTGAAGTGTGATATTTACCATTGGTACAGAAAAGTAATGAATCGGAACGGTAACTATCAACTGTACAGGTTGAGCTGGGGGAAGGGAAGGCAGGGCTGGGGTGTCTCTGTGTCCACTACTCCCATGGATCTGCCTATGCACATTACCCTTGTTTCATTACTTTTTCATGTCATTTTTTTTTAAATCCCAAAAGTAGAAAAAGTTTAAAAAAAAAAAAAAAGACAAAAAAAAAAACCCCCAAACAAAAAACCCCCACAAAACAGAAAAACATATCAACATGCAAATACTTGAATCCAACAGGCCAATAACAAAATGTGAACACTTTCTGAGTCTAATTATTACACTTCCAGGTCAGCATCAGTACACAAAAAAACAGGCTCGAAGAATTTTTTTTTTAAAGTTCAGACTATATGTTTTTCTTGGAACAGATGTGTGTATGTGAGTGCGTGTGTGTGTGCGTGTATGTGTGTGCCCACGTGTGGTTTAACTAAAAGTGTGAATTTTTTTTTCCTTTTATTCAGTATATGCTTTTTATTTGCTCATTGGTCAAATGTTTAATTGTTATTAGCTTCTAACTTTGCACTGAGTGTCCGCAGCCCTTCTTGTAGCTAATCCTATAACGTTAAAAAGGAGAAAAAAAAAAAAGAAAAAAAAAAGGAAAAAAAAAAAAAAAAAAAGAAAGAAACTGATAGAAGGGGCTGGCGACAATTCACGTGTAAATGTTTACTCAAGGACTCTTACTGCATTTTAAAAATTACAGTGTGTATCTCTGGAGAATAATATGTATATCTACCTTTAGCGGCTTTTTATTGTGGACTAATGCAAGAAAATTACTACCGGAGTATTGCACCATTTTTCCATTAGGAATATAAAGTTTAAAAAAAAAAAAAAATACTCTTGTTGAACTGTGGCCATAGATAATTGTAAAGAGTGGATGGTTCCCTTGCAAGCAGGAACAGAAACAAGCACTTGGACATAGGTTTTGACTGCTTTTGGAGGAGCCAGGAGTTTTGGCTCCCACCTGTTTACAGACCTTTTTTTTCTCCTTCAAACTTTAAAATAAAAAAGGAATTTAAAAAAAAAAAAAGAAAAAAAAAAGAGAAAAAAAAAAAAGACTTCCATCGTAAAGAAAACTTATTTTCAGAATGAAGATATGCTACTTCAGAGCTCTGGGATTGAACAGTGTTGTATTATTCTTTTCTTTGGCCATTGCTGTGTACTATTTTTGTTGTTGTTTTCCTCCTCTTCGTCAAAGTGGCGAAAACTTTGTGATCACTATCTTGCACATGGTGGAAGATGTCTCAGGAAAGCCGGGTTTCCCGAGGAGCAACTCCACACCATTTCATGTATTTTTAAAACCCAACTCCTAGCACTGAAGATATTATTAAAAAACAAAATAAAATAAAAAAAGACAGTAAGAAAGAAGAAAATACCTAATCTAATGTGTAGCAGTTACATATTTACCAAATAATGGACTCAAAAGAAATAGATGTTTGAAGAGTGCTTTATATATTAAAAAAAAAAATCGCTTTATGTTTAAAAAAAGATCAATGTTTTTGATTGTTTTGAAAGGAAGAAAGACAATGGAATAACATACACTTCAAGTATGTTTTAAAAATTATATGAACATTGCGCTCCCTGCCTGCTTGGATCAGGAAACTTGTGCATTACTTTTTTTCTTTTTTTTTTTTTTCTTTTTCTTTTCTTTTTTTTTTTTTTTTGGAAGATTAGCTTTTTAATGGTTTTATCAGATTTAAAGGGTCCCGCAAGATTGCAAATTAACAAAAGCTGGTTTTATAGAGGATCATGAACTATGCACAAACTGGGTTCAAGACTTGTTTTTTTTTTCTCAAGTTTTAGTAGTGTATTTAGCTGAATAACCTTTCCTCAGAGTAATTGCATCTCATTGCCATTACACGCCTCCTACATATATATTTTATATATATATATACACACACACACTTATATAAAATATGTATGTGTGTATGTGCGTGTTTACATACAATTTTCCATGCTGAAGTTTAGCATCGAGTTGTAGAAAAACTCTTGATATTTTAAAATTGGGAATGATAAGGGGTTGGGGTTGGGGTGG